GCGTGTGCGTGTGCGTGTGCGTGTGCGTGTGCGTGTGCGTGTGCGTGTGCGTGTGCGTGTGCGTGTGCGTGTGCGTGTGCGTGTGCGTGTGCGTGTGCGTGTGCGTGTGCGTGTGCGTGTGCGTGTGCATGTGCAGTTGTGGGTATCGAATAAGAAATCACTCATACGACATCCAGACTGAACTCGTATCTGCATCTAAGTCCACATTCACATCCACATCCACACTAACACGCACATCCGATACACTGTGTTATAAGACTTCAAGCAAATATAAGAGATAATGCATAAGTAACATAGAAGTTGAGCATATAAGGACTATGATGCTGAGCAAGCTCTATAATCTAAAGTAAACCGTGATGAAGGAGTGTACTCCAATATGCATAAAGAGAAGCGACTTTTGAAGATTGGCAGCGGTATTCGCATTGCCTTTCACATTTTTAATTCCACAAGGAATTGCCCTAACAGCTAATTGCAGGTTAAATGCACTCAGAATTTCGACTTTTTAGCGTATTTCATTTTGAAGTGTTGTTATTGTTACTGAAGAAATCTGCAGTTAACCTAAAAAATCCATACTCAAAATAGTCCTGTCCAGCTAAGAAATTCGGCTCTTTGCTGAAAATTACATAGTGATTTTTACGGAACAGCTCGAATAACCGATGCATTTCTTGAACTGTAGCTGGATGAATCTCTACCAATATTTGACGAGGAAGGTTCTTTTCAGGCATGTTTCTCTTAAACATGTCCATAAAGAATTCATATTCATGAGTTTCAATATCAATTTTAAAGATATCGATTACTTGACCTTCGTGTTTCAATTCTTGAATGATGCCGATCCAGTTTTTCGAATTCGCTCGAGCGCCATTACTAAGAAAAGCTTGATGAAAAGTGCATAGTTCTTTCGGGCATGGAAAATAATCTTTGTCGAGTGTAAATATTGAACATTTCGGTAATAATTTCTTTATTGCTGGTTCAAAGGAAAAATCACCATGAGATCCTGCACTATATACAAGGCAGTCTTTCTTCTCTCTGAGTCTGAATGGATCGCATACCCATTTTCCACCATCGCCCATTTTACCGATCCTCATTTTATGAGAACAATGAAAATTCGGTTCCCAATTTGACTGAAAAAATATCTTGTCTGTAGTTTTCATCATATTAAGTTTATCTTGAAGAGCAAACACATGCTTCCGTTCGATCCAAAGATAGTCAGGTTCGCAGAAAAAGTTTTCGCTTTCAGCTCTCGACAATAGACACTTATGTATGTTTGGGATACCCAGACCCATTGTCTGTATATGTGCGAAAAATGCTACAGTGAATAGAATGATAATAACGGTCACGGCAACAAACCAATATCGAGTCGTAAATCGACAAACATCACAGACTGATTTTATAAAGTTGCAAAACATGTCTCTTTTGAACAAATGAAGCTACTTCTGAAAGAACGCATTAACGATAAATTCATCAAAATAGTATGACAGATCAGAGAATACACATGTGCTCGCTGCATTACAAAGAATATACATGAGTAGAGCTTAGGAAATTTCAAAAATACAAGGTCAGGATCAAAACCATCCATTATATCTATCCATATATATAATGCTCAGTGTCTGTGTGTTTCTCTGCCAGGTCAAGGGCCAAATATCAAAGGTAAAAGGTTAAAGGCTACAGGTTAAAGGTTAATGGCTAATGGCTAATGGTCAAACCAGGTACTCTTCTATTTCTAGAATGTTCTACAAATATGTGGATTCTTCGAGAATGTTCGTCATTCATCTAGAATTTCGTATAATCTTTTTAATGATCTAGCATTTACTGTAGCGTCTAGACGGTTCCAGAAATTTCCAGTGACTCTACGTCACAAATGACGTCATGAATGATTGAGAATTTTCAGGAAGGTTCTATCATAGGTTACAGAGGGGTATAAATAGACCCATCCCGATTGCAAACAGACCCTTTTGCTAATATCAATGATAACCGATACAACAGACGATTCTACAGTGGATTAGGAATGTGACAAGTCAATCCCAACAGCACTTGATCAGCAGAATATCTCGAACTTGGGTGGGGGTGTGGGTGTGGGTGTGGGTGTGGGTGTGGGTGTGGGTGTGGGTGTGGGTGTGGGTGTGGGTGTGGGTGTGGGTGTGGGTGTGGGTGTGGGTGTGTGTGTGGGTGTCGGTGTGGGTTTATGTTTGAGTGTGGGTAGGGTGTGGATGTGGACATTGTCTTTTGTGCATCGTCATCGACACCCACAGCACACCACGCACAACCACGCTCCCACACCCCCACACCCACACCCTCACACTCACACCCACACCCTTTTCGATGATCGGGTCCGATTATTTATTCTAATGATGTTTCAACAATAAACCGACTAGTGCGTCAGTTTGGCTCCTCGTTACCACGCCCTTTTTTTCCCTTTATTTTTATTTTTCCTCTTGAAAGAAAACATCTGTATATACATATATATATGCATATATGAGGTTAAAGGAACATTTTTCTTAATACTAGAGGGAAGAGAAATCGTAGAATAAATGTATAAGACAATAAATGAACAAGAGAAAAAAACCAGAGAAAGAAGAACAGATGATTAGTCTTTTATCCTTACATAAGCAGCTGTCCAGATCTCTTGAGAAACGTTAACCTTAAAGGTTTGCTACATTTGAAAAGTTTCTCTTGTCGAACGATCACCATTTTACTCGGTAAAAAATGTTTGTCAATACAATCTATCTTGTGTATGTTGCTTTTAATTGAAGGTCATGTTATTTTATAACAATTATGCGTCTAAGAAATAGGCTTATTATTAGTAAGCCTCTTGGCTGCTTTCTGAAAAGACACCGCCAACTACTCTTCAATAATGCCGCTGCTTCGCTATTCGTGATAATTGCATTTGTCTTTATCATGCTTATCGCATCCATCATTAATTTTCAAATTAAAAAAGGGTCTTTCAGGTTCCTGCACAAAAAATCAACTAAAATATGTTGTATGGTCTTAACAGCTCCGAAGTATTTCTTAACTCGGGCCAAAGCTGTAAACGAAACGTGGGGATCCCGATGTGATACACTTTATTTCATTTCTGAACTAGAAACAATTAACGATTCAACTTTTGGACTTCATGTACCTTACATTGCAGATTTAATTAGTGGATATGATTATATAAGCGTGAAATCAAGACTAGGATTCATATATATGTATCAACATTGTCTCTCAGACCACGACTGGTTTATAAAAGCAGACGATGATACCTATCTTATAGTCGAGCATTTAAAAAAGTTTTTAGAGATGAAAAATACATCAGAACCTGTTACATATGGTTACAATTACAAGCTCCATGTCTCGAAAGGTTACCATAGTGGCGGGGCATCTTATGTACTTAGCAAAGAAGCTTTGACCCGTTTTTATCATATTCATCAGATGCCAAAAAGTCCTTGCCACGAGGATGGAGAAGAAGATGTACTCATTGCACAATGTTTAAGACGAATGAAAGTTTATCCGGGTGATTCCTTAGACCCATATGGAAGAGAAATGTTTCATCCATATAATTTCAGTACGCATTTCAGCGGTCCATTCACAGAATCAATGCAAAAATGGGCAAAGAATCCAGTGGTTGGCGTAAGTTAATTCGTACCATTTCACCTACCCTTACAGAAGTTGCCAGAAAAACGTAGCACATAAGCATTATAGGAAAAAATTTAAGCGCCATCCTCTTTAAACATAAATCTCACTGGAATAGCAGAAAAGAAAAGAAACTGCTTTTCTCTTCAAGTGTGAAACTCCTCTTCAGAGATCAAACCAACATGAATACCTATATCCGCCCAACTAGCTCGCCAGAAGATCATTCATTCATAGACTGTGTGTATGAGATATGAGCGCAGTTGACGAGAGTGGATGTGGCTAGAGTATTGGTGTGAGTGTAGACATCACTTCTTTCACGTCTACACGCACACTCACTAACAATTATACCCACATACACATTCAATAACAATCATACCTACATACACATTCAATAACAATGATACCCCCACACACATCCACACAGATCGACACACATCAAGCCCATTCTCATATCCACACCCACACCCACACCTACACCCACCACAGCCACACCCAAGCACCTCCGCAGTCACGCTTGCTGCACTCATACCCACATCCGATTCCACACCCACACGCCGATATCCACGCCGGCATCCACGACGACCACACTCACACTCACTTACACCTGCCACATCCACATCCAGCCCACATCCATACGAATGTCTATCATTTACTACAAATCGCCATCTACCGATTCATCCCTAAATCAAAACCACATTTTAGGATGTTTTAACGATTATAATCCCTTCGGATGACCAAATAAGAATATTGATTTAGGGATTTCTTTTCTAAAAACACAATAACTCATACACATTGTAAGTTAAATACAATCTTCTACCACTCTAAAAATCTCTAGCATTAAAACCAAGTACGATAATCAAAGTCGTTGTATGGATTAGTACATTCTGGTAACTAGAATTATTATTTTGTTGTATTGAAAATACGTCTACCACTGTTTTTTTCATTCTGGTGACCAGAATCTCTTAATTCTGGTTACCAGAGTAGACGCTCTAAGATTTCGGTAATCAGATTTAAAAGAGAACTTATTTTTGGACACTTTTTCAGCGTTTTTAATAGGAAAAACAGCAACTCCTATAGTCAAGTTCTCAGAGCGTGTACTCTGATGACCAGAATTTACATAACCGATTCTGGTCATCAGAATGAAAAAACACCAGTTGTAGACACTTTTTCAACATTGTCAATATAACAAAATAAGAATTCTACTGTCAATTTCACAATACAGTGCCCGCCACTGTTTTTTAAATTACTCAAGAACGCAATGAACTAGAGATCTGCAGCTTCCACTAAACGATAGATGAGACAGGGGGCGTTGTTTTCTCAGACAATATGTCAGGTAAAATTCTTTTAAAACTACTGATCTTTAAAAACATGGAAAAGAATGCATGAAAATGACCTGCCATCCAGATGAAATTTCCAGTTTGATCCTTGATTTAGATAGAAGGACTTGAAATCTACAGTTCAAGATACAATGCAAATACTTTCTTATTGCATTCTAACGTTGATCAAATGAAACCATGTATTTACATGCGCACATAATGGGGAATTTCACTGACTTTTTACTATGTTTTTGCATTTTTCTAATAATAGCTAGACATTTCGATGAAAACGTAAGGAAAAGTAAGACAGTCCACTGGATCTGAATCTATAGATCTCAAATTCCTCTATCTACATCAAAGGTCAAAATCAAAATTTCATCTGGCTGACAGATCATTTTGATGCATTCTTTTCCATATTTTTCAAAGATGAGTAGTTTTAAAAGGATTTCGCTTGACACATTATCTAAGCAAAAACACGCCCCCCCCCCCTGTTACATTCATCGATTGGTAAAAAACGCAGGTCTCTAGCTCATTGTGTTCTTGAGTTATTTAGAAAACAGTGATGCACACTATATTTTGAAACGGACAGTAGTTACCCGAATGTACTAATCCATAAAACGACTTTGACTATCGTAATTGGTTTTAATACTACAAATTTTTAGAATGATAGAAGATTGTATTTAACTTACAATGTGTATGAGGTATTGTGTTTTTAGAAAAGAAACTCCTAAACTAATGAATCCCTAGATCAATATCCCTACTTGGTCACGAGAAGGAATTATAATCGTTAAAACAGCCTAAAATGTGTATTTGATTTAGGGATGAATCTGTGGATGACGCTTAGTGGCAAATGATAACTAACCCACCCACATTCACCACATCAATGCCCAACCCCACACCACCCATGCACACACCAACACACTTACATTGCATGACCATCTTATTGTCCCAGCGGCAGTGTGAAATAAACTAATAGTTTTATAAGATAAAACCTTATACGACACAGCCGCTAAGGTCTTCACAATCTGAATCGATTCACTTGTGTAGTGCTTGTTTTTCTTATTTTAGCATTACAACTGCTGCAGCGATGAAACAATATCCTTTCACTATGTTGCTCCATGGGAGATGTATTTTATCGAATTCCTTTTATATCGGCTACATTCTCCACTGCTAGCACCACTTTAGTATCATGGTTCTTAATAACAAGTCACAGGCTCGAGCAGCCGAATGACTATATCTTTTATCTAAAGAACAAATCGTCGCAACATTATTATCCAACTATAATTTTTATGTATTTCTCACTAATGAAGTGACTTGTTGAGTTAACGGATGGCGAGGATATTTAAACAAAACAGGTCATATATACAGTTTTTCAGAAAACTTGCAACGAGGACCAGAGTCGATGAGGCCAATTTTCTTTTCCAGACAACGTTAACTTTTTGGTGTGCGTGTGTGAAGGTGTGGGTATGGGAAGGTATGGGTGTGGAAAGGTGTGAGTGTGGGAATGTGTGGGTGTGGGAAGGTATGAGTGTGTGGGTATGGGAAGGTGTGGGTCTGGGGAGGTGTTAGTGTGGATGTGGGAAGGTGGGAAGGTGGGAGTGCTTGGGTCTGGGAAGGTGTGGGTCTGGGAAGGTGTGGGTCTGGGAAGGTGTGCGTCTGGGAAGGTGTGCGTCAGGGAAGGTGTGAGTGTGGATGTGAGAAGGTGG